TCTCAGTTAAGATGACCATTGTGTGTGCAAAATCAACTCAAACCCCCCCCCCCCCAACACACACTAAATTCATGGTTTGCATTAGTCATCATGAGCACAAATTATAGATTTGTTCAACCCAAATTTGGATGTTTGCAGTGGCATACTAAAAAACAACTGCTTTGAACACAGAACACATAAAAGCTGTGATCATTGTGCAACCTTGATAGGAAAATGTGCACAGTGGTCATATGAATTAGCCCAGATGCACTGCAAAAGGCTCAACACTACATAATTTGGCTTTACACATCTTTTCTGTACCATGCAAACATCTACCATACACTAAAATTAACCAAATCTGTAACTTGCACTCTGGAATATATTCTTTACATCATCTAACTTGGTCCTTGTATTTATAGAAGGTGGTGCTGAAGCTGGTTCCATGTTCCTTTTTTGCAGTTCCTAATCTAGTTCTTTATTGAATACAGGTATGGGTTCATTTTGCATTTCTGATATCAATAGGAGCTAGGAACTAACTAGTCTTGTCTAAAAGGGGTATCATACCCACATCTATTAGGGCTTGCTTTGCACATGTGCATTAACCACTGGTGTTTCATTATATATAAAATAACTGTGGTTGTTTCCACATAGTGGCAGTCCTCCACCTGGCTGCTGTTGCTGCAGATGTGGAGGCATTTGCAATGGTATCAGAGCTTCAACTGTGATCTTTCAAAAATAAAAACTATAGCAAAGCAGGTCTAAGAAAGTTTACAACAAAGTGAAGGAAAAGGTGGACGGGGCATGAGTGCACCACAATGTGGCACGAAATCTCTTAAAAGCACAAACACACACAGAACCCCCCCTAGTGTACTATGAGACTCAAGCCTGACCAACACAACCATACAGAAGTGACCTGTATTATAAATATGCAGGTTGAGCATGGGGAATCAAGTGTCTTTAAAGCAGTACTGCTGTGCTTTCAGTCATGACATGGCAGTCTCCTCCTGTTACCTCTAATCTCATGCATAGGTTCCTATGCAAGTTGTACAACTCTGCCCTTTAAGTAGTGTTGGCCAAAGGTGAATGCCTGGGGGAAGGAGGGACTTTTTTTAGAGCTTTAAATTAGCTTGTAATTGCTGGTCCCAATTTGAGCTCTGCCCTCCACTCCCATAACTGTTGGCCACAGCTCCAGATGCAGAGTCCTCTCTCCTCCTCCTCCTCCTCCTCCCCTATGGTGGTGGTCGTAGCAATGGTAGGGAAACAGATCTCAGCCACAGCACATGGAATGTTGCTAAAGAGGCCAATCTAGGTGTGCTTATTTTTAAAGAGTTGAGTCTAGGTTCCCTGGATCCAACTCAGGTGCACTGTAGCCACACAGCAGCTGCAGGGAATTGCTGTTAAGAAATAAAAGGCAAGGCTATTTGGGCTTGGACCACCACTGAGGAAGGGCTTCTGTCTCCCCCACCCCAACAATTTTCCTGCAGTGGAGAGGAGTTTTGGGGTATCTGTAGAACATTTTGTGCATGTAAAGCACCAAAAATGTGGAAGTAACTTCCTCTTCCAGCACCGTCTCAGTGCACAAAAATGGCATTATAGACCTATGTGGTCTGTGCTTCATTTTTAAAAGCCATTTTCCATAGGTGCTGCATGGCTGCAGGGAACCTGATTTGGGTCTAAGAAACTCAGATACAACTTTTTAAAACAAACATACCTAGTTTGGCCCTTAGCATGCCAGAAGCCGTGACCTAGGGCAGTTGGAATACCAATGTAACAGCATAGGTATTATGGGGGGGAGGGTGTGGTGGGGGACAGACCACCTCTCCTGCTTTCCTACCAAAGAGGAGAGGAGAGAGCTGCTGCTGGACTCGATTGAAGGAAGAAGTACTTCCTTGGTTCAGATCACTATCCAACGTATAGAAATGATAATGTTCATTTCAAACTGAAGTGGGGCAATATCCTAATTTTTATGTAGCTGCATCATGAGTGTAACTCACTGTTCACTATTGGCAGGCTAGAAGCAGAAAAATGTTTGGTTAATGGAATGGTTGAACTTAGGGCTTTGGTTTGTCCAACAGACTTCCACCTGTGTTAATTTTATCCTATTTGTTATTACTTCTGCCTGGTTGCTGTTTATTACCCCTGACTTCAGAGACATTTTGGCTATTGACCTGGCTTGTGGTGGTACAACTGGGTAATTTTTAGACTCTGTGCTAAATGGTTTAGACAATAATACCTATTTCAAATGTGAAACTCCAGCTTGCTTTTGAGCCCAGACGCTGGACTTCTGTCCCAAAATCCAGTATTGATGATACTACTGTTGGTTTGACTTAATGTCTACAGACAGTCAGGCATGCCTATATGTCTATGGTCTACTCCTTCAGCACATAAATTAAACAAATAATGTGCTTAAGGCAGGCTTGCATAACTTGTGCCTCAACGTGCTGAACGTAGCTCATTGGCAATGGTCAGGAGTCAGACGCAAGCTCAACAACCTGCAAACAAGAGGGGCAGAGGTGTTTTCAAGCATGTGGCAGACTACAAAACATAGCTGGTAAACTGTGTTTGTTTTGTTGAGTCAAGTTGCACAGGCTTGGATTAAAGCACAGCCACCACTGGCAGTAGCTGTGTGTCTCAGGGCTTATCATTATCAATATTTGTTCCTACATGAATTTCTGCCTATTGTCCAAATCAAGATGGGTAGCTGTGTTAGTCTGTCTGTAGCAACAGAAAAGAACAAGAGTCCAGTAACACCTTAAAGACTAACAAAATATGTGGCAGGGTATGACCTTTCATAAAGAAGTGAGCAGTGACTCATGAAAGCTCATAGCATGCCACATATTTTGCTAGTCTTTAAGGTGCTACTGGACTCTTGCTCTTTTCTACTACCTATTGTCCAGTTTAGGTGAGATGCTTTGCACAGAAGAAACTTTATTACTTTTGTCTTCCTGAAACATAGCTTGATTTCACAATAAACAGTTATTGGCCAATTTGTCTCTGGTGAGTGTGTACAAGCCTTGAGGCTTAAGGAATAAACAAGAGTATCACACCATGCTCAAAACAAACCCATCAGGAAGAAATAACTAATGGTATTAATTTCATGCAGCTGCAACAACTGCAAACTTGTCTCTGTATCTAGTTTAGCAGTTTAAATAGTAAAGTCTGGCTCAGGTCAGATGTCACAACAAGCTAGAGTTCCTATGTGATGGGCACAAATCTAGTTAATTGCTAAGCTCACACACTCTCTCCCTTTGTACACTGCACAAAAGTTGATGATGAAAGTCTTCAATTAATACCAATTAGTTGTAACTTCCAAATGCAGGGACTAGGATTTTCTTTCCCAGTAACTGGGATTCTTAACCAGGCTAAACTGTGGTTACGAACCCCATTCCAGGGAAAGATACTAAGATCAAACAGTTAAGTCACCCTACATTTGAACATTCTGAGTAATCCAAAGTTGAAGAGTTTAGTTGAAGAGTTCCATTTTCAATCTTGGAGCCTCATACGAGAGCCTTCGGGGTAGGGCGAACCCCATTCCAGGGAAAGATACTAAGATCAAACAGTTAAGTCACCCTACATTTGAACATTCTGAGTAATCCAAAGTTGAAGAGTTTAGTTGAAGAGTTCCATTTTCAATCTTGGAGCCTCATACATGAGCCTTCGGGGTAGGGCGGGATATAAATCCAAAGATAAAAATAAATACATTAAAAATAAAGACAAGAGGAGGAGAAAAGGGGAGGATGGAGTGAGCACATGAGCCCAACAATTAACCCAGTTTGTACCCATGACAAATAAACTCTGATTTGTTTGCAATGTTTGAATTGAGAGCTGTTACATTTACTTTTTCATTAGTTCCTGACTCTAATGCATGAAGGTTCCAGTACTATTTATCACTAGTAAATAGTAGGTAAGAAACTATTTGAATTCTAGGAAGTAATACTTATGTTTCTCAGGATTAGGAATATCAAAGACACAAAGGGGGGTAAATATATCTAAACACAATCAGGTCTGCATTGTGTTGCCATGGCCTATGGTGCAGTTAAATACATACTGACTGACTGCATTGTTGAAGAATGTGTGTTTGAACTACTGGAACTACATGTTATGCCAGCAAACACGCAACCTCATGTTTACTAAAAAGCTTGAATTACTGGGAGTATTTGTAGGGATAAATGAGAGGAATCAGAGGTGCTACTTCTCTCCTGAAACCATTACCTAGGCCATTTTCTTCTGTCCTGCTAGGGAAAATAAGACTATGACAGAGAGTGTGTGTGTGGGGGGGAGCAGTTGAAAAGGTTAGTACCCCTTTTCAACCTCCTTCTCCCCTGCAGATTCCCTCCCACCCATGCATGTTATTCAGTACACATGTGGTTGGGAATTTGTCATGCAGTTTCAGCCTATGAAAGAGAGTGAAAACAGCTAGCTCCTCTTTAAATTAGCATCTAGTAATAAAATATCACCATCTTGGTATTCAATGCATATGACCAACTAGAATCTCACTTTATCAGAGTCATACAACTGTGATACATTTGCATCTGGTAATATGGTGGGGTTAGGAACAGAGAAACAGAAGCATCCCTCTGCCCAAGTATCTTAGTCCTCATGCCCTGTGTTTCAGTGATACAAAACAGGAGCCTGTGGGAGGAAAAAACCTGCAAATACTGACAAAAGGCTTATGTCTATTAAGAACACCAAGCCAATCTGAAGGTAAAGCAATAATAATAAAAAATAAATAATAAAAAATAATAAAAATAATAAAAAATTAAACTACCTTAAATACTACTTGGGATGCTGTATGTGTAGCCAGTTTATACAATTTATGACCCACCAAGCCAAATACAAGCCTGTTGGCCATATATTGTGGTTTGTCAGATGCTTAATAGCCTCCCCCATTTTCTTCAGAGCCAGACAGGTGGCAGAAACATGAGGGCTATTAAATACCTAGGGTGGACAGCACTCTTGGTAGATCATGACTTTTGTAGGCCTGGAGTACACCAATGCACAAAACAGTTATTTGTCAGCTTTCACTGGATTTTCCTGCACATCCCCAACCTATACTTGGGAGGTTCTTGCACATGTTTAGACAATCGTCTTATTTTCAGTGACATCCGCCCTTTGCTTCTGCTTTCAAGAATCATCAGAGTATAAATTACAACATAGGAAAGCCAAAAGCAGTCCACAGGCAACCGACAGGCCAGCCCAAACCATTCCAAAGGATGAACAGAAAAGGGGATATAACGTGCAGCAAAGAAAGTCAAGATTAGAATAGTGAAGTTGGCTAGGTCATACAATATTATCCAAACAATGTAGGCTATCATACCCTCTGTTTTTCTATACCAAACAGAATAGATGAGTAGGAAACATGCAGGATAAGTTAGACAAGCCAGGAGAAGTGCTGTATAATAGTAATATATGATCAGATCCTTGGCAATGTGTAGATTCTTCTTTGCTCGATCCAGGTGAGCCGTTTCAAAGATAATATACATATTGGTCATTAGAATCATGTAGATACCAGCTACAATAGACCCTGTTTTTGGCAACATGCCACAGTAGCCACCTGTACAGAAGATGATCATTCTGCCTTCTCCAATAGTACCTTGAAAAACAAAGAGAGCTAATTCAGTCCAGCAGGGCATGGAAAATGTTTCTATAATTATCTGCAGAAGGTAACCCAAAGAATAAACTTAAACATATTTTAGAATAATAGATGAAGTATTGGAGAGAAAAAAAGAGGTACCACAATTTGTTAACCTATTGGCAAACAGATGAGTGATAACAAAGAAGAGTAAAATTGTGCATTTTAGCATGACTCGATGGATCCCAAATGTTTCACAGAGTATATGAGCACATACTACCACCAAAGATAATCCTGTTCCAACAAGATGCACTATATTTACTGAGCAATCCTAGGATTCTTCTGTGCAAGCTGGATGCTACAAGTTGCTGACTTAGGTCCCCTAAGCTGCATATACTGAAAAAACTCTGTGCTATCCCGATATTGCTGGAGTGCCAATACAACACCATTACCATAACACCAGGTGCATAGTTTAGGGATTATGACCAGGCAACATCAGTGTCATGTCAAGGGAGAAGCAAGACGTACTTGGTATTCTAAGCTTCTTCAGACTTCAACCCCCTGCCTCAATGGTGGGATGTTATTACCACCAGGAAAGGAGGTATAAGCTAAAATGTGCCCATTTAACTCAACGGAGAAAAGAGGAATGAGCATAGGTGGCCAAACTCATTATTTATTGATTTAGTAAGCATTTATAACTTCTCTCCCCCCACCCACCCCCTGCCACGATTCTTTCACTTACTCTCACTTTGTTAGGGAGAACACCAAAAAGACATCCTCAGAGATGGAGGGAGGAAAGGATAAATAGACAGACTCTTTTGACTCTGCACCTGGTTGGGGAAGAGACTGGCTGAAAAAAAAGGAATATTGCTTAAAAAATTACAGGATGGGACCAGAACAAAAATAAACAAATTTGTTAACTTTTACGATTATTGAACCTCTCTTAATTAATATCAAAAGGAAAATATTAGACGGGTAGGAAGAACTGTGGTATGTTTTTTTTAATTTATCCTTTACTCAGACAACTTGGTTACTATATATTTTCCCTTTTTGTAACCAGAAATGAAACTGCCTGATAGTGGTTGTTCTGCTTCACACATTAAAGCTTAAACTTGGCACAATGCTTACCAATGGATTTGAGTTAATAAAACAGGCTGGAATTCTAATTCTTACACTGGTTCAGTCAATACGAATGGCCTGTGATAATTTCAAATAGTTTCATTCATTTAGGAGCATCTTTTAAAGCCTGCAAGCACTTTTGTAATTCTGACACAGGGTCACAGACACAACAACACAATGGCAGGCACAGGAGGCAGGCTCAACGACAACATGTCAAGGAGTCAGATCATGCATAATTTTGTGGAGCCAACCACAAAATGTTAGGGAGTGAGGTCATGCATAACTATAATAGTAAGACTTCAGCATTTCAGGCAGAAGCTGTTTAACAGGATGCCTTTTAAAATGAACTTACTGTTTAAAAAAATTTTCTTGCATACACACAGCTCACCTTCAGTCATACAAATGTCTTTGTGCTATGACAACAGCTGCTGCTGAAGCAACTTTAAAAACTCTGCATAACCAATCAGAAGCCCTGCTGACCGAAAGTCCCACCCAGCCATGCCCACTTTCTAAAAAACACTTGGCGGGTGCCAGGAAAGTGATCAGCAGGTGCTATAGTGCCCACAAGCACCATGTTGGGAACCCCTGACTTAAAAAGATTTTTAGTTAGGACTAAAAACTATAGACCTAACTTCTGTGAGTGGCAGCAGTTAAAGCTGCAGTCTTAAGAGCAGCACTTCTCTGGAAGTAAGCCTTATTGAATAAAATTGGCTTTATTTCTGCTTGAGACTAAGTTACGAAGGAACTTATTGCTGTCAGATTTGATGGAATAAGACTGAAAAATGAGCTCACTGTGGTCTAGTAAGTTGGGCCAGCTGGGCAAATTCCACATCAAATTGACAGAACATTAGAGAAGCCATATTGAATCAGATTAATCCAGTCCAACACTCTGTGTCACACAGTGGCAAAAAACCAGTTGTCATCAGGAAGTCCACCAGTTGAGGGCAGAACTCCAGAAGCCCTCACATTGTTGCCCCCAAGAACCAAGAATACAGAGTGTTGCTGCCCCAGACACCATCTATACCTTGTAGCTAATAGCCACTGATGGGACTTCTGCTCCATATGTTTATCCAATTCTCTCTTGAAACTGTCTGTGCTTGTAGCTAGGGGTGTGCATTCAACTATGGCTGAACTGAAAAAATACCTGAAAAATACCTTGTCAGTATTCTTCGGATATTACATAAGCCGAATACAGATTACAGTTCTGTATTCAGCTACCAGTATAGCTGAACCCAAAAAAGCAGTAATTATCTGGCTTTTTTTTGGTTCATTTCCTATACGAAAAAGGTCTCATTAAACCTAACAGCTGGCTCAGCCGCCAGTCAGCTGTTGAGTTTAAATGCCTTTCTTTCCCTCCCAATGTCGGGAAGGGAAAGAAAGGCATTGTAAACATGCCTGCACTTGGAGAAGATCAGGAAGGGAAGCAGGTATGTTTGCCTGGCTGCCCTCGGTCTCCCAGCCTGCACGCCTTGGTGGGCGGGCTGGGGAGACAGAGGGCAGCCAGGCAAACATGCCCCCTTCTTCCCTGGGCCTCTCCGCTATTGCAGAGAAAGCCTCAGGAAGAGGGTGGAGGCCATGTTTAAATTCCTTTCTTCCCCTCCCGAAGATGGGGGGGGGGGGAAAGAAAGGCATTGTAAACATGACTGCTTCCCTTCCCGATCTTCTCCAGGCACCCCGCACCTTGGCTGGCTGGGGAGACCGAGGGCAGCTAGGCAAACATGCCTGTTTTCCTTCCTGATCTTCTCCAGGTGCCCCACAGCTGGGGAGGGAAAGAAAGGCATTGTAAACATGCCTAGGTTCCCTGCCTGCCCTTTTCCAGCTACAATCCCTCAGCTAGAGAAAGGAAGGCAGAGAGCCAGGTTTTCCATTGTCAATTTCACTCCCAGCTGACAGGCAGGGAGTGAAATTGACAGAGAAATCTGTAGGGTCTACCAGAGGGAAAGAAGGCATTCTAACATGCCTCCTTTCCCCCAGGTGGTGTAAATTGGACCCAAATATATTTGGGAATACCGAATATAGCCCTATTTTACTGGGGAAATTTGGCATTTACCAATATTTTTCGGGTCTGATTTACCTGAACCTGAAAATACCGGCATTCCCCCCCCCCCCAATCCCTACTTGTAGCCACCACGACACGTGTTAATTACTCTTTGGGTGAAGAAGTACTTCCTTTTATCTGTTGTAAGCCTATTGCTCATTAATTTAATTGAATGCCCACGAGTTCTTGTCTTGTGAGAAAGGGAGAAAAGTACTTCTTTCTCTACCTTCTCTATCCCATGCATAATTTTGTAAACTTCTATCATGTCACCCCTCAATCGCTGTTTCTCTAATCTAAAACCCCTAAACTCTTTAACCTTTCTTCACGGAGAAGGTGTTCCATCCCCTTAATCATTTTAGTTTCCCCTTTCTGCACTTTTTCCAATGCTACATCTTTTTTGAGGTGCGGTGATCAGAACTGTACACAATATTCCAAATGAGGCCCCACCATAGATTTATACAGGGGCATAATATTGGCTGATGTGTTTTCAGTTCCCTTCCTAATAATTCCCAGCATAGCATTTGCCTTTTTAATTGCAGAATGAAAACATCTGCAGTACATGGATTACCACAGATGCTGTCTGTGGTAGATACTATCCCCATGACAGGGCATGCTCTTTCCACATAGCCTCCAGTAGGTATTCAAGCAAGGATGTTCCCGTTTTCTAGACCATGAAGGAAGGCCTACCAGTCTGCATCGAACTGTCTCTATGTGCCAACTCTCTTTTCCTAGCAGAACTTCTGCAACTTTGCAAGCTGTTTTCCAGACAATTATGTGACAAGTAAAATCTAGCATGGGGAATGAAGTGATAGGGAAAGTTTTACCTGTTGTTCTGCTGCCTAACACACAACAGCTTATTCATCAGTCTTGCTTTCAAAACTCCATCTCCAGTGCTGCTCACTGCATCTCTGGCAAAGTTTGGTAAATATGGATCTGTCCCTATTTCCTGCTCATTGCAGGATCTGTGGGGCCTATAAAATGGAGATGTTCCCCAGGTCTATGGTTGAGGTAGCGGCAATTCATCTATACTGGCCTCTCCTGCTCTGCTCTATTCCATCATGGCTGATTTTCTCACCCACCCAATTGCTCTGCATCATTCCATCTATGGCTACCTACAATCAGAACCCCTTGGGACTTTTAATTGCGCAGCAGCCATAAAATGTTTTGGTAATGTAGATTTTAAGGTTGTATCATATTATATTGTATGTTTTCATCATGTTGTAACCTGCCCTGAGCCTGTTGTGCAGGGTGTTGGAAAATTGGTAAAAATAGTTACATATTCAGAGTTTGCAATGGATCTTTGTTCACTGGAAAGGAGGCAAATTCTTTCTATGTAAAAATCTTTATTTCAAAAGGGAAGGGTACACAGGAAAATCTACAAAAGAACAAACACTAAGACTACATCCTTACTGTTACTACCACACAACAGACACACATAGATAGTAATGGAGATTCTTCTTTTCTTCTTGACCCCTAGAAGGAAATCACCTGAATGCATTAACCAATGATTGTTAGTAAATAGGATTCAGTTTCCCAGGCTTTCTTTCCATTGGCTTTCTGCCAGGTTCCCTTCCAGGTCAGTCTAAACAATAACACACAAGGTAAGCACATTAACCCTCTAATGACTGACTTTAGACCTTGCAACACACAAATTTCCAACACCCCTTCTCAAGGTCTAACATGTAAGTCATTATACATGCACATACAACAAACATCACTCATGATTCACTTTAACATTTGCATCAACCATATTCAACATTTTATGAAGACGTTCAAATATTTCTTTGGTCAGTGGCTTAGTCAAAATGTCAGCCACTACTTCCTCTGTGCGACAATACTCAATC